TAAAAAAAGTAATGGTAATAGTAATTAAATACCCGATTTGTGTTTTAAAATCGATGCCTAGTTTTGGAAAACAACATCCGAAACATAAAATTCGAATTTATTTGTACGTAAATATTTTGCGATTTTATAACGCATATCCTCATTTAAGCTTTTCACTTTAATTGTTTTTACGCATAAACTTTGCTAACATACGTGTCCAATGTCAAAGTTGTCGGGCAAAGTATTGCGACATACGATCTTGTTTGATTTTTTTTTATTAAAAGAAAAAATCGTAAATATTGTAGTATTGCTTCCAATCGCCATCATCTGATTCTTTTGATAGCGATTTTGATTCTTTATTTAAATTTACAATACTTATGTTATCGTTTACGATTGTTACAGCAAAAAGTTGTTTGGCATTCTGTTGGTTTACTTAAGGGAGAGGTGCCACATTTATTTTGCGCTGCCATTTTTTTTGCTATCGCTTTGCGTTGTTTGTGTATTCGAATGCTATTGCCATTGTAACAAAATGGTTGTTTTGAAGATATCATATTTTTTTGCACACCACCGAATAGTCTTTTGACTGTGATTTCTGCTTCATCATCTAGTTCCGTATCAGCCCAGAGAATTTTTTCTTCATTCTCACTTCTGAAAAAATTTTTCAAATTCTTTGAAAGTCAACTTTGCTCAACCTGCGAATATTGTTTGGAGTTCAAACGAATCAAATGTTTTTTTTTTTGTTTTAAACGTCGTCCCATTTTTTCACAACAGTTAGACTTGCTTCACATGAAGTCCATCTTATTGGTAATTGCGCAACTTACGTGACTTATAGCAGAGTGCCAAATTCTGTCATTCATAGACGACAAACAAAAGATCGTTGCTGCATCAACAATAAGAAAAACGACCCGCGGGAAAAAATAATTTAACCTTGGGTTGACGAAGAAAGGAGAAAAGCACAAAAAAGAAAGACATTGATAATTACGTGATTAATGATAGTGATAGAAAAGACAATGAAATTTAAATTTGCACCAGAGTGACCAAAGAATAAGTTATGCTTTCGGGTCCGAGCATTTTCTTCCCATGCAATCGCTCTGGTGCTTCTACTACTGTTTATATTTTTAAAAGCGAGTGCAATCTATAATAAAAATAACAAAACTATCCAATTATTTTTACATAGTTACGATTGTATTAAATTAGCGAAATGCGAATTAAGACTCGACAAAGCAGTACGAGTTATCAAAGCATTATGTCAAACTTTATTGTATTCTACTCCTTGGCATGAAAAATGTTAAACTGCTTTCCTTTACCTGTGTTGGCATTAATGCTTTTTTATTGGTTTTTATTTTCCGTTCTTCACAAACAATTTTTTTTATCTAGATATTCCTGGAGAGTATGGGTATTAGTATGTTAATTTTAAACCCCACAAGGCGCAATTTTTTACCTTTAAAAAAATGCTTCTATCAGCGCTGAATGCTTTGGTGCTATGATCAATTTAATATTAATATACATAAGATATTTACTGTTATAATGAATTAAAGTAATTCATGGATACCAATAGCTGCTAATAAACCGCTTATCTCAACCAGTTTATATTTTGATGTCATGAATTCATGGGCCAACAGCTATGCCACTAATACTAAATCAAGGCTAAAAAACCGAAAATCTGGAATCCCCTTCCTTGGCCATGCTAGCAAACTTTTCAAATGTTCGTTTTATTGCGCCTGCAAAATTACGGTAAGGGTTAAAATATTGTAACCGACATAAAATTATTAGACTCCGAGTTATTCCGGTTTACGTAATCAAAGTTCGAATCATTACGGGTCTCTTATAAGCTTTCTTTTCTTTTTTTGTAAATAGCCAACTGTCTGCTGAACAGTTGGTTGAAAACCGCGAGTTGGCTCAGGCCTTTGCGCCAATATACGTAAGCAACCTTCTTTGATTGTAACTTATCGCTTTTGTATTGTATATTGTAACGTACTAGTACAGTATTTATTGGTACAGCATGCATTACACGTGACAGGGTCATAAACCACTCATTGTCATTTACGTTATCAATTGTCTGTTAAATTTGTATGACAAATTTGTGGCAACATTCAGAACCCCTGAACTTTCCTGTGGCGTTCATATTCACCGCATATTAATATCGAACAGTTAGGCTTTTCACATCCAAAACCTGCCTTTTTCTTAATAATATATATATAAATACATTTATTTATATTTAATCACATATTATTTATATTTCTATGACTGACGAAAGAATCGTCCTAAACGTCGGCGGAATGAAGGTTTGTTAGAATACTCTAGTTACATGTCCTCCTCACACTTGTCACTGATTTACAATATCAAACAGTTTGGATGAATGACTATCGATAACATGACTTGTAATTATATAATTATCAATCAAATTTGACATTCATTAAAAACGTTCACTCGACGCACCCAATTACCCGTTCCCCCGTTCGTCCAAAGTATGAAACCTATCGTTCAACGCTAACACAATACCCAGATACGCTCCTTGGAACAATGTTTCAGGAACGGAACAGAGACATGTTACATCCCAGCAATGGCAATGAATACTTCTTCGACAGGGATGGTCGCGCCTTCTATTACATCATGGAATACTATCGCAAAGGTACAGTTCCCTACTATGATGATTGCGGTCAGAGTATGCACCACTGTAACTTGGTGCCTCGCACGCAACTTGAGGGTGAACTCGATTTCTTCCAAATACCTAAACCACCCGTCATCGAGGCACCATCGATCACAGTGACTGAAGAATACGCCGCGCAGTTACTAAATAATTTTATAGACATGCTGAAGAAGGTACTTCGCGAAGCACATTCCCAACTATATTCTCGAGTCTCCATGACGTTTGTTTCGAAATCTTTTGAAGATTTCGCTATCGCTCCTGGAATCGAGTCTGCTATCCGATTAGCTACTCCGTATGCATTCTCTGGGTATAGGATTTTAAGGAATTTTCCCGAACTGTCTGAACATTTGAAGGAGGATAGTTCGATATCAGATTGTTACATCCAAAAAGGTTTCAGGAGGGTTAATAGTAGTCTAGAGGTACTTGACCGCTTGACATTGACGATTATCTCACCTCTCAATTTGGAAATGGAAGTAATCAAAGAAATGTCGTATCTTGGTCGTTCCGTGGAAGGCGGAAATTAGGCATATGTAACATAAAAGTTTTAGAATGCGACTTTAATTAGAAAGTGTAGTAGTCTGATGATTTTTACATCACACGGCTTCTTCGAACGATATTAAAAAACTACAAGCTCTTTTTTACAAAACGATCGTCAAACATAATAACATTTTCTGATATCACGTGTCCATACATACATACGTGTAGGCGTATCTCTTATGTTTTTAGTGCATCTTTATTGTGGCAGCATCACTCTTATATACAACTCAATGACTGCCGAGAAATAATGTGAATTAGGAATTTACAGTTTCTATTCGAATCAAAGGAAAAAAAGAGAGAGAATTTGAATTCCAAAAAGAAAAAAAAAAAAGTCTCACACCCCCCAGACTAAATTAGTTTGTCTGAATCCGGCCAAAAAATATCCAACCACGCAACATTAATATTCCCATGCAAATGTACGAGATGATACTACTACAAAATCAATATTAACTGTTCGATACGTATTCCCGTATGCTATTGCATTTCACAATGCCCATTGCTCGTTATCCAGGATATAGCCAATCGGGTATTATTCCATCACCCCTGTCAATGGGGCTTTTTCTTTTTCCTAGACTAAACGTTCCATTACATCTCTTAATACATATATTCACAATCGCTCCTTGCACAAAACTCCTTAATAACAGTATTAATAGTCTCCACACTACAAAGCCTAAACACATGAGTAGGATCCAATATAGAGACCGTCTCAAAATCAGCAAACGCATCCGTGGTCCGATACAACATCAGATAGGTCTTTGCTCTCAACTCTAACGCTTCCACGTTTTCGCAGTCGAAAGCGAGCGCCTTGTTCAGATCGCTCAACGCCTCTGAAAACCTGCGAACCAAGAAACACATGTACGCACGAAGATAATACGCCTCGGGATCCTGCAAGTCGGGATGGAACAACTTTTCGAGATCGTTCAGCGCCTCATCGTATCGATGCAGCTTGAACAAGATTTTAATGCGAATCTTTCGAAACGGTGCGGGTGGATTACGGCGGCCAAGTACACGTTCCAGGTCGATTAGGCTCGCGCTATAATTACCGAGAACATAGTTAACCGTCGCGCGTGCCTGTAAAGCTTCCAAACTATTCTGACGAATCTCTAGTGCTGTTGTGAGATCTTTCAAAGAATTTTGAAGCCGTCCGAGGGTAAAATGTGCCATTCCCCGATTCTCTAATGCCGTAGCCGAATTCGGTCTTTGGGCAAGTGACTTGTCAAGATCTACTACCGCATCATCGGCGTATCCCAGTTTACGCTTGAGCAGTCCTCGATCACGGAGTGTATACGGATCATCTGGCTTGATGCGTAGTATGGCGTTCAAATCTGTTAACGCATCTGAATATTTCTCTTGCTCGATATATATGTGACTTCGATCTTTGAGTGCGGATACGTGTGATGGATTACGCTTGAGTATCTCGTTGAGATCAGTTAGCGCATCATCGAATCTTCCAAGTTTGCGATAGACTTCACTGCGAGTTTCTAATGCACTCGTACTGTCCGGCCTCAAGTCTAACGACTTGTTTAAATCTTTCAGTGCTTCTTCGTATTGTTTTAGCTTGAGCTTTACTTCTCCACGACGGCGAAGTGCAAATGTGCTCTCTGGTTCCAACTCGAGCGATTTATCGAGATCAGCAACTGCTTTATCGTATTTGGCTAGTTTCTGGTATACAGTGCCTCTACCTCGCAATGCGAATGCGTTATTAGGTTCTAATTCTAAGGCTCGGTTGAGATCAGTCAAGGCTTCGTCATATCTATTCATCATTCGATACACTTCTCCCCTTCCCCGTAGTGAGAATGCATTATCTGGTTCGACAGCAATAACTCTGTCGAGATCGCATAAGGCTTCATTGTCTTTTCCGAGCATTCTGTTTACCTCTCCCCTATATGCTCTCGCTGCGACATTGTCTGGCCATTCTGCGAGCACTCTAGTAAAGTCTTTTAGTGAATCTCGATATCTGCCTAATTTACGGTATACTTCGCCACGTATTTGCCTTGCGATAACGAAGCCATTCTCTATTGCTAGTGCTTTGTTTAGTTCTATAAGTGCTTCTTCGTATTGTTGGTTTTTGCGCAAGTTGGCTCCTCTGAGAGCATGTAATATTGCGGTTTCTGCTTCAATAGTTATAATGGTTTTTGGAATGTCCTCTAGTGATTTTATGGCCACTAGTTCTTTATGAGCAGTATCTTTAACCTGTGTGTCAAGTAGGCGTAAAATAACTTGGTATAAGCTATATCGATATGTGGCAAGCATTTGGCTTATAACACCATAGTTTAATACTAGTCACTTACCTCTTTGCCTAACATTCTCCTAACCCTGAGTGAAATTGTACAAGTAAATTAAGAGTCGTAAGGTTTTTTTTTTCGTCAACAAAGTTATCGTTTCATGTTCCTTTTGTATTGATTCGAATACCACATTGCACAACAAACTTACCGATCAGCTGCTGTTTCTTTGAGTTTGAGGACACCACTTACTTTTTGTGTTGGAGTGGCTGCCTTGTCTGTAGTGGACTCTTGTGTCATATATATATGTATGTATGTATGTATATTATTATTATAGGAACAAACAGTCGTCGAGTTCCAAGTAGAGCAGTAATGTGAACGAAGGGAAGTATTGAATAAACGATGGGGCGTAAAGTGACGACTGTGAGATAGTGACGGTAGTTAGCGTTTGTTGTTATACGAGTGTATAGCAAACAAATTTCGGAGAATATATGAATATGGATGATTAGAACTCCACCCCCCCTTAAAGGAGGTAGTTGAACAATAACCGCAATATGTACGAGTGGGCGCACAATAGCATGAACGACTTATCAAACTTATATACTTGAGAAATTATAAACTGTGCTACGCTTTGGTGGTAAAATTGCATGTCGTAGTGGTTACTGGACGTCGCATGTTTCTCATAACAAATTAATCCCAAAAGGCAATTGGTACATGAGAAATTTATGGTGATAAAACACGAGTAGAAAATACATACAACCCACAAAAATACGAGTATGTGCTGGATGCCCCAGTTTATTTTACAAGTTTGGAATGTTCAAAAGAGAACAGTGTCGACCTTACTTACATGTTCTTCTCTACCCTTTTTAACACTCTACTTCCCGCGTGTGACCCTCATTTGTAGTCATTTGGTGCATTGACAGAATAACGTTACACAGAATGTCGACATGACAATGTCAAGGAAACCTGTCAGGCTTGGACGAAAAAGAATTTTCATCCCATACTAACACAGAATGCAATTAGAATCGGTTTTTATTGTTCTCGGATTCTCGACATTTGGTGGGAAAGAACAAAAAGAAACCCAAAAACGCTACTATACTTTTTCAAACGCACGGTCTGTAGTGACGGGAATGTTGTACCACGTAATCATAATATTCCATCAAATATTCTCCCGCCTTTTTACCCCGACTTTTGTGATGCTGTTTTTTGGTCAATATCATCTAGTCTTTTCTGAAACTCGTCAATACCTCGAACATCTCCCGCTTTCTTGGCATATCCCACAGCCTTTTGATAAAACTCTTTGGCATCTTCCATCTGCCCCCTTGATTCGTGTATCGTTCCAAGGTTATTGAAAATAACTCCAGCACATTCGTCACAAGCACGCATTCCCGATCCTTGTTTGGTTAGCAAAAGACCTTGTTGCAACCAACCCATTGCGTCGTCCAACTTGTTCTGACCAAAAAGAATTTCGCCAATGTGTCCTTTTATTATTGCTTCATAGCAGATGAATGACTGATCAGACCGGTTCGGCGTTTCTTTCAGCTGTTTCAGAATACCTGCGTATAACGCGAGTGCCTTGTTATAATGCTTTTGCTGCGCATAGATGCCTGCTAATAACAGCATATGTTCAATAAAGTCTGTATTCATTATTGCCGGAACAGTACTTCCTGCATCCCCCTTTTGGCTCATGCTCCCAATGGACCATCTAAGATATTTTTCAGCTTTTTCATAATCGTGCATATTAATACACACCCACGAAACCTTTTTTGACACCTCGATGGCTTTAACAACGTTCTCCTCCGTCCCGGAATCAACTAAAATTTGCCAAACTGATTCGTATCTGGTGAGCGCATCATGGTAATTTTCAATCATTGCAGAATTGTTGGCCATGCGTAATATTATGTCTAGTACTATTGGATCATCAGGTGGAAGTTGCTGTTCTTGAATGGCTATTCTTAAGGCATGTTGGAGGTACTGTTCAGCCAGATGAGAATCGGGATAGAATTCCTCGCGGACATAAGCTCCTCTGAGACAATCCCTGGCTAATCTGGGTAGAGTCGAAGGTGTAGAGTGATAAAAGTATTCAATGTATAAGTGTATGCCTCTCCACGTTATCAAAGTTAGCAAACCGATTGTAACCAGCCCGATGCCAAAATATTTTAATATCCTACGTGTCTCTCTTGATGCATCTATGATCAAGCTGGTATAGTTTTGATTTATACGACCAATTGGGAAAGAGCGACTAGTTGAAAGTGGTGTGCGTGAGTGATATGTCGAGCGTTTGACAGAAACGAATGATTCCTGAACGTGTGTGGGAATTATTTTATGATTAAGTGGAAGCCAAAACTCCCTTTTCGGTGCGGATATCTTGAAATTACTTAACAAAGTCTTATTGGTTATCGCACTCTGCGTAAGTGGCGAAAGTCTTTGTATTGTTAATAAAGCGATACGTTTATATGATGTTTTAAGCATTGTCTGGTGCGGATTAAAAAGGACGCAATACTGAAAAGGTTGATCAAATTTTATCTGGTAACACTGTATTTTCGTCACATGATTACGATATTTCATACTATGTAGCTTGGGTTCCAACAGAATCTTTTTCTTTCGGTTTGACTATCCAAATATGCCATTTCCTTAATTAACGTTAAAAAAAAATCAACAGTTTAAATGTTAAAAAGTTGGGGGGGGTGTGTGTTTCAGATGTGGAATTTACATCAACGTTGCTCACCTCATCATCCAACTCAAAATGAAATATCTCACTGTTTTTCTGTATCCTTTGAAGGTTAGTACTCTTTGGTATAACACCAAATCCATGCTGATATCCCCAACGTAGGTATACCTGGGCTTCACTCACTCCATGCTTTTGGGCCATGGTTTCAACTCCCTCAATATTATGGCTTCCATCTACGAGCTTCCCTTCTCCAAGACTAGAATAGGCCTGAACTAGAATGTTGTACCGTTTACAAAAATCAATCAATTCCGTCTGATACAACAGAGGATGGACCTCGAATTGATGCACTTGTGGCGTGATGGAGGCATAAGTTAAAAGATCTTCCAGATGAGCAAGAGTGTAATTGCTTATCCCTATAGCTCTGACTTTGCCTTCTCCGTAAAGCTTTTCTAATGCTTTGTAACTCTGTTGTCTGTTTACTTTATTCCGAGGGTTATCTTGCGTAAGCCTTTGACTCCTATTAAGACATTGAAAAGACACATAAATGATTTCAATTATTAAAGAATCGGGTTAAAAGAATTTACTATATCTGGTGTATGTTCTGGTCACGATCCGCTTCGAGGCTTGTACAAAGTGCTTGGCTAATTTTTAAGGGATTTTGCGATTAGCCCCGGTTCACTGGTTAAGAGTAGATTCTGACAAGCGATTGGTGTTTTGAGAACGAGCCAGAACATAAATGAATATATATATAGAAACCAGATCGTGTGAAATTCGACTGACCCTGGCCAGTGGATAAGAAAAAGATCGAGATAACCCAAATCCAGTTTTTTTAACGAAGTGAGACAAGCTAACACGGGGAGTCAACGATTATTAGTCGTGTGTATTTGTATGACTAATCAGTTTTCTATAGATATAATATATGATATGCATTATCACCGTTATAAGCGGTCTCAAATCCGTGATCTCTTGGGGCTGTAGAACAGTAAGATAATCAACATCGGGCATCTAACTCTTATCTACCTGCATACTATCTATCAATCGACAAAAAACCCACCAAGTTTACTCGTAATGAAGAAATCTTCCCTCCTGAGTCCAGATGATGTGTCCTCAATTATGCTTCTTATCGTTTTCCCTATGGCTTCTTCATTTTTGTAAACAGCAGCCGAGTCAACCAGTCGATAGCCACATTTGACCGCCTGTCGGACTACAGAGTCGATTATTTCAGGTTGCTTGATACGATAGGTGCCCACTACAATTAGTTAAACACTTGCCTTTGAGTACGAATTACATATTTGGATGAAAGAACCAAGATACTTACAACCACAGGCCGGCATCTCTACGCCATTATTAAGCCGAAAGCTGGCAGTCGTTATCATTGCTGAAAAGCCCAATATTTTTGACCTGTGCCACTGCTCTCTTATCAATCATGTCCCAGGTCGATCATCTGTACAGACTATTCGCGCACATATTATGTATAAAATTGGGAACGCCGTTGCTGCCTGTTAGCCATGTACGTTTGGAGGAGCTTGACGCTGTGGAACTCACATATCATATTTGGATAGAGGCCATCGCCATAAATTCTGCACAAAACCCATCGTACATCTTATGTCAGTCTGCATGGAAATTCTCTTCATATTAATATAGACATACTAAAGTTCAACACGTAATACCAAACATTAATAATTGTGATGGCAATGATTATTATATAATTGGCGAAGCCAGAATCGGTACTCGCATGTGAAGACCAGAAAATTAGAAAAATGCATATTAATATAGAAGTGTTAATACTAATTAGGGACTGTTGACGGTTTATTCTCACAAATGACCATAGTGCACATTACCGTCAGTCACGTAACCTTGAACTTGAACAAAACGGCTGATTATTCGCACTGCATAGGAAGAATGGGTGATATATTACCGACAACCATCAAAGTTTTCCGGCTGATCTTTACATTTTAAATTGTATAGGTAAACTTTGCCATTATTGAAAAAATCGTTTGAAGCTTAACAGCAAACAAAAATTGTTGATTTCTTTCTGTTTAGCCCTCCTCAAGCACGGAAGATAACTAAAGATATTCTCTAGACGTTTTATTTGTTGAGATACGTATGGTTTAATAAAATTTGAAAAAGAATTATTCACATGGAAATAATTATTATGAAAATTTATTCTTGTACATGTTTACATCGATGGTTGTCTCGGTGAAAGTTGTGTTTTTCATAGGAAAATGCAACCACGCGTTTCTTGTGTATCGGTATAGCAACTGCTTCTGTATATGGCATGTGTGCTAGGTACGCTGGAAATATCGTAGTAATTGGGAGAAAAAAAGAGGACAGGCTGAATTGATTACGAAATACCATTTCATGTTGGACGTCGATCACTTGGTTAACGTGACGATGGAAACAGAGCAATTAATCGTATAAATTTTCTCAAAGGTCTGTTTAAACAATATCATATCGTCTTCCAAGTAATCCTATTACACGACCTGTATGATAAATTAATTTTTTGTAAAACGAAATGTATGGACGCGCAGCGGGTCAGACGAGCGTATCTTATTGGAGATCGTTTTCTCCAGCGTCTCTTCATTCACAAAAACCAATTAAATGAAAATTGCGTCTACGCGATCTTTCAGAGCGCATTATGTGGTTCATTGGAATATCAACCCATTACGTGTTGAACAGGGATCTTCACGTTATGTTTAGATTTGTTGACTTTAATTGAATGGAGTCGACTTTTCTTTTGGGTAAAATAATCATCTTTTTCTTCCAATCTTGCAATTCTGGTCTCAATTTACAACTCAAATTAAAATAGCTTTTACACAGTGAAACTCGATAAGTCGGACACGACGGGCTGGGCATGGCTGTCCGACTTATCGAGAAATCCGAGTTATCG